AGACAATCTCTATTGCAGACACTAGCTCAGGCACATTTGTGTTTGTTCAATACCCACAGAGTCCTCTTGTGATTTATACTGCAACTATGCTGGGCTGACCTTAATTACAGTTTCTGGGAGAGAGTTTATTATCTAGCATGATCAACAAGGCCAGCACACTCAAACCCTCAGTCACGATGACCTGTGACTTTGTGCTAGCACAGCTATCGACAGCCCCCAAGTGTTCTGTCTACCCAATTTCACTCACAAGGCTTGGGTTAACCTGTGGTATGGTTTTCAGGCACTATCCAAAAGTGCCACACACTGGAATCCCCCCCCTCAAGACCGATAACATCAGGAAGCTTCCTTCCTGACAAATTGACCATGGTGAGATTCAAACCCGATATATATAGGATTAATAAGATTGTTCACTTAGCTGATTGATGTTATATTCTAACATCAATCAGTTAACTTTACTGTCACATTAGGACATTAATGAATGGAATTGTCCATTTATATAAATAAGCGGAATTAAGTGGAGTTGAAGAGAGTTAGCATTAGGTCAATTGCTAAGTGTACTTTCATTTAGTAAACCTATTTCATTACTTACCTAGAAGTTTGTCTTCCTTATTATTTTTCTTTGTTATCCCAAAAACACAAGATACAACATTTACATAGGCATATTGTGAATTAGTTTCCAACAGCTGAACTTCATCAACTAAAGACAACACATGGATTGGCAGACAAATAACAATTTTTAATTTCAATAGAAATTTACTTAGCAAATCTCATGCTAACATCATAATCAACAATATGCACAAATAAGTGGGACATTTTTATGGACCAATTATCTTAGATTTATTAAATTGCACCATTTTAGCACAAATGCTAAATTGCAAATTATTAAGAAGGTATCCATTACTATTTAAAATTTTTTTAATAAATTCAATTTTAGAATTGATTTTGGTCTTTGATGGGGTTGTAATAAGGCTTAATTTTTGCTGCTTGGAACAAAAACAGTCCCAATAAGTATATAAACTGGTGAAAATAGATAAATTGACATAAGAAATGTCAAATCTCATTTCTACACTAAAACATTCAGAAAAGGAAGAACACTACTTCAATGGGCTATACAAAAGTTTCCTAAAATTCTCATCTTGAATGTGCCACATAAAAATGTGATGAAACCCCTACTTTAATGTACCATAAAGTTTCCTAAAATTTCTACTATCAATGTGTCACATAAAAGTTCCTTGAAAACCTTATTTCAATGTACCATAAGTTTATTAAAATTACCTATGAATGGACCATATGAAAATTTCCAAAAATGGCCTAATTGAATGTATGTGTTGAAAACTTTCTAAAATTCCCTCCTTGAATATGGCACATGAAAGTTTATTCAAATTCCAAATGCCACATGAATGTAACCTGTTTACACAAAAAAAAATATAACAATGATTTTCTTTCCATCATGGTTAGCTGATATGTACCAGAATTCTGTAGTTGAATCTCCATGTTGTGCTGTCAGTTGATTGAATTTCCCACCGATGACGGTCAAGAATCTAAGGTCCAGAGAATCGTTAATGGTTATAATTGTGACAGTAAATTCAATTTCAGTTCACCATCAGAGATATTTAAGTAGAAATAGACAAGTGTATAAATAGTGAGGTTCTAAAGAAACAAGACAAAAAAAAAGATAAACACAATTCTGAGAAGCATTCAAAGAAATATGCACAAACATGAACCTTTCTTATTCACAAAAAAACACAGTGTCAAAAGGATAGTTTTTCCCATGACACTGCTTTTATTTTAACTACCTTCACTCTTCAGCAATGTTTATTGTTTTAAAAAATGATGATCAGAATTGTAATAAAACCTAAACATGTGATGATGAAAGTGAATTTACACAGGTTTATTTTTTTGCTTTTGAGAATTTACAACAAAAATATTAAGCACAATTTAATTATTAAATTGCTTATTTACAATAATAATCTTATATTTACAATATTCTAGAAACTAATACAGTTAGAACTAATGCAATGCAATATTTATTATTTAACAATCTATAAAGAATAAAAGAAGAAAACAATTTTTTCTTCATAAATTTATAAACATTTACTAAATTATTAAAATATGGGAACCAACTATAAAGAAATCCTTATTTACAATTTTATAATGTTTGAATCAGTTGGAAATTAGCCGATGTTTTGCCAATCATTAATAATAATAATAATAATAATAATAACCATTAATAATATATAATATTAATATATTGCCGAAGAATGAAGGCAGTTGAAATAAAAGTGGTGTTGTAGAAAAAACTGTCCTTTTGACATTCCATTTTTTGGCAGGCACAAAGATCCATGTTTGCCGAAGCATGATTGAATTACCGAAATCCCTGAAGATCATCTCCAAGACACAAAACAAATAGGCCAGATACTCAAAGCATTTCAACAAAGGAAGAAATGGAAATATTGAGAGAAAAGAAATCAAAAAGCTTTCTTGCAGTTTTCCTTATTTCCCATTGAAAAAAGTGAGACAACAATGGGTTACTTGCCATAAGGATGAGGTTTAACGGCCTTTCTGTTTCCTCTCTTAACATTTGAAACTTTCTCTGTTAAGAAACATTTGACACAGGCACATTACAATGACTTTAATGAAAGAGTCAAAAGTTTAAAAAAAAAAAAAATTATTGCACATTGGAATAAATGAAATTATCAAATTTATTTTCTGTATGTTATATTTCCTAAGCCAAAATATGAAGACCTTCTTCCTCTATGTGCCATATCCCCATAGCATGTTGGCAATTATAGTTCTCCACAACATCCTCTCCTTTGCAGCTCTTAATAAATTGTCTTTTTGTTAGCTAAACCCTGTTCTGCTATCCATTTACTCAAGTTCAGGTTATGCACTGATTTCCTCAATCTTTCTTACCTTCACATCTACAAACTATATATATATATATATATATATAAAAATCATATGTTTACTCTGAAAGCATAAAATTATGTACAAAATGCAAAATATCTGTAGTTGAAGGCATAAAATTGCCTTCAAATATATGTAGTTGAAACCATAAAACTGCATACAAAATATTTAGATTTTGGCATTAGATAACCCATAGAGGTGTTATGCCACTAGACAAAATCAACCAAACCAATTTTAATTTCAATCTGTCCTGTGAGTATCAAATTTTCCGAGCCCTCTTTCCATATTATGTGTCCTAGAAATTTCAACTGTCTTTTCCTTATGTTAAGTATAAGTGTCATTTTTGTTTCCATTTTCTCTAAAACTTTGTCGTTGCTCACATGTCCTGCAATGAAATGGCAATCACTTGGACCACCTCAGACAATTTACAGTCAAGGTTTTCATGCTCAAAGACTTTTCTTCTTCTAATGAAACTGAAGAAGAGCAATCCACAGGAAAGCAACGACCTTTGAAAACATCAGAAGACAAACAGAAGAGACAAAGAGAGCTCAAAAAAAAAAAAAAAAGCCAGATCTCTCCATCCCTTGAAACCCCCTGCCCCATTATGTGGTGGCTGAAGACATCTCTTCAGATCCAACATCAGACACATTTCACACAGAAGGAAATGTCGATGAGCACACCAATACTCAGCAATGAGTTCTGCCAACAACGACATGTTACATCCATAATCTGTTTAACCAATGTGATGCTTATTTGGTAGTCAAGTGACCTATCTTAAAAATTCTGATCTCTAAAAAAAAAAAAATAATGGACACAATAATGTTACCTTCTATTTCAAAATTATGAAAAAAAGTTTATCATCCCAAGATTTATTTAAACGATTGAATTCATTTTATTTTTCTGTCTGAAATTCTGAAAGAGAGTTATCATGATTTATATTCAGACTAATGCTCCTAATGTTTGTTGTTATCACAACATTTCAATCAGCATGCTTTGGCCCTCCTCACGGGCTTGTTGATCTACATAAACAACAATCCTTCATTTCATCTACAGATATAGATTCTTCTCATTCCCCTACCCCCACCCACCATCCATGTCTAGGGATATTTCATCATTTTAAGTACTGTTCAGTTAATGCTCATCTGTCTTCCCATGGGACAATAACCAATTAGATTAAAGCAACGGTTCATGAATTTGGTAGCATAGTGATTGTGAGTTCAATCCCTAGGCTGGGTAGTTCAGACTTAGATTCAGGGGAAACAGAGTGACCAATAACTGAGCAGTACTAAATAAAAACAAGATATCCCTAAATATGGAACAAGAACAATATACCCCTACAGATTAAATAAAGGGATCAGTTCAAAATTCACTTAAATTTACTTGAATCAACAAAAACTTGAGGAAAGCTAGAAAGAACAATGGCCGAGACATTGTGATAATAAAAACAAAGATAAGGATATTAGTCCAACTGTAAATAATGTAAATAACTTCTATCAGAAATTCAGACAAGAATTAAGTAAGAGTTTGCCTAAATAGAAAGACACAAGACCCCTTGAAATCTTTCAAACAATGCACTTGTGAATTACTTAATCTAATATATGTGTTTGATTTGCTTAAATAATTTCTGTTGCTGTGTGATCATTTGTTTATAAGGATGCATAGCATTGAGAGTGATGGTGATTAAAGTGTGTTGAATGATTTATACTTATAAAAAAACCCAAAAAAGGCATAACCTGTATAAAAATCTACCTGGTTTTTAATTCCTTTTAGAAAAGGTGAAGAAAGCAATTTATTAAATTTTGGCTAGTATGTTCATCATTTTATCAGAGTTTTTTTTAACATAACTTTCTCAATTAAAAGGTAAAGCAAGCAACAGCTACTAACAAAGAATAGGGGATTAATTTTCATGAATCCATGTGACTGTGATAGAGCATGAGTCCAAATCCCCTATCTCAGTTGCATATTTTTTATGGACAGCACCATAATCAATTCGGTCATGGAAAAGCCAAGAGTGATGAAACATTTCCATTATTTTTTTTTTTTTTTACAGAGTTATCTTATTTTTTACTTTTGACCACAATGAAAGGACTTACTGTCTGGTGTCAATTCTTTTTTGTGCAGTAGCTGCAAGATGACACATTTTGTTGCTGGAGCAATAATAAGGCTTCCATCTTCACGTCCACACACCATTAACCCTTGGGATGGAATGTGGATAGTGGCTGTGATCTGTAATTCTTTCTCCTCATGACACTGCAAAGAAGAACAGCAATAAAAGACCACAAGGGTAAAAACACTTTCAGAAATTCACACAATTTGAGATGATGACAACTAAGTGGAAAAGCAAGAGAAATGAATGAAAGAAATACCAGTCAAAAATTAATTGTAATAATTGAAAATGGTTCATCTAAGATATTCAGACAACTTAAGACTATTTATAATTGATGTAAAAGTGAGAGAAGTAAGATGATAGAATTACTAGTTAAAATGAATAATAATTGATAATGCTTTATCTAAGAAATTGAGAAAGCAAGAGAAATAGTATGAAAGAAATACTAGACAAATAATAATAATAACTGACAATGTACTTCTAAGAAAGTCAAACCACTTAAAACTATTACTACTAGGTGTAAAAGTAAGAGATTATTTAAAATGTTACTTGCTAAATAGAAAACGGGTCAAATAGCAAATGATATATATAATTTTACTTACCAGTTGATCTAAAATAGCAGGAGATGTTTGTAAATTTTGCTCCCACAAATCCTGCAATGAGGTTTTAACTTTTGGGGGCAGGGCTGTAAAATAAAAAAATCAAGTAGTTTAAATTTTGAATATTTATCAACATTCATACAGGATATATGTTCAAAACTTGATTTACTTTTATTAGGTTGAGGCAATGATACTGATTATGGTATAGAGTTGACCTGATGGTTACGAGCAGGAAAACTGCAATCAGCAAACTGAGTTCAAACTCCAACTGAAATAGTTTCTATGGTATTCCTATACCATGTAACTCAGTATAATGTGCGAAACATTATCTGGAGAAAAGATGGTCACTACCAAGTAGCTCTTATAACCTCAAGAATATCATGAAAGAAAAAAATAGCAATGTATCCTAATAACCATCTCAGTCAGGGAATAATTGGATTTTAATTATACTGCTCATTAATAATTATAATTTTATTTATATTGATTAACACTTAGCATCCCATAAGACAGATATTTCATTACATATGAGAAGGATTTGAAGAAAATTTAATAAAAATGTAGGCTTTTCACAAAAGTAAGAATAATTTTCATATGTCAAGAGAATTTTAGGAAACTTTCAGAAAATAATGTGGCTCCTCACCAATGAATCAATATAACATTTGTCGTCATTAATCATCACTATCATTGAAGATCACTGATATGCACAGATGACACTGAAATATCATTCTTTGTATTGTCCCTCATGTTTGACAGTCAATGATAATATACCCATCAAGGGTTTAAATATGAAAAATTAAACTAAACTTAAAAATTAAGTGTCAATTTTACATCAGGTCAAACATGCAAACAATATATATCAATATCCAGTCCTTTCCTGTTCAGAAAAATGAATAAATAAGAGATAATACAGGTAAAATCTGTACTGGTGTCACTATTGTTATCACTATCATTAAAAGTTACATTTTGTTATACCGTCACAGTTGAAAATGTTAAAAAACGTAGGCAAAAAATTTTAGAAGCAATTCACATCAATGCAGACATTAATATGTGTTTTATAAATCAATCTCCTTTGCTAAAGAGTGCCATATCAAAAATTTCTGGTTTGACATGAGGCATATGTACTGTACATTTTTGGTTCAAAGTTGGGAGGTAGGGGATAGAAGTGCAAGTGTAGTATCATGTGGTATGAGATTGTGGGAGGATCACTTATAATAACTGGTGTTCCCAAGTAGTCCCCTAACTATATATTGACAGGACTCAACACTAGTTAATCAGTGATTGAAGAACAAAAACCTGTTTTCAGCACAATTTGAATATAAATGTACATATGAGATAGTTTGATAGTTTTTTTTTTTTTTTTAAGGCTTATCAACCTTTTATGGGTTATTTAAAACCAGCTTTCCAAGTTCCAATTATAAGTTGTTAGCCATTACACCATCCGTGCAATATGAGATCCTAAGAGTTAATATATTTAGTATTAGCAATGAGAATACAGTAAACATGACCAAAAATTTCAACATGTTTGTAAAATATCATTTTTTTTATATGAACAAAAGATCATCCAAGTCAAAGATTGAAAAAAAGTAAATTGCAAATTCTTGCGAAACACAAAATATAACATAATGAATAAATTTTTACATGTCATTCATGGATATTGTCCTTGTCCAGAACAGCATCACAATGAAGTGGCACTCATGCTGGACTTGAATCAAAAGTAGTATTCAACTATTTTTTTATAACAGAACCAAAGCATTTTGGGGAAAGAAAAAAAAAACACAAAAAACTATTATCCAAGAAAGAACAGAAGAAAACTAAAGAAATAATTTATTAAAATAAATGTAAACTAACTTGGAAGTTTGTGGAAACTCTCCTGTCTGACAAGAACCATTTGTCTGTCCGAGACCTCAGGAACTATCCACACCACCAACTGCCCCTCTGAATTTCCACGTAAAAGGTAGTTCTCATCTCTATTTTTACGTCTCCTGTGAAATTCCATAGCTGGAGTGCATACACATGGCTGAAAGATTAAAAGAATTTGAGCAATAAAATGACATTGATTATACAAAGGATTGGATTTTTGAAAGGGTTTCTTGGTCAGTTTGGTTTGGTTTATTTTGTTTTACAGAATATTAACACCTCAGCAGGTTATTTAATGCTGACAAGATTTTTAGGATAGGTTTGTATAAATAGAATATTAGATCAGGTTTCATTGATGTATTTTTCTAAAGTTTTTTGTCAAGAGTTTGGTTTATTTTTGTTTTACACTTTATCAGCCTCAATGGGTTATTTAATGCTGGCAAGATTTTTAGGAGAGTTTCATATGAATAGAATTTTTTCAGTGACATATTTTTGTAAAGAGGGTTTTTGTTGAGAGTCAAATGTATTGCCAGTAATATTTTTTTTTTCAAAAATGTATTGCTGGTAATAAATTTTTTTTTCAAAAATGTATTGCAGGTATTATTACTATAAAACCCTATTTCTATAATTTCACAGTATTTTGATCCCAGTTTGGGGGTTAACTATTTGCTTGTAGCTGTTACCCTAACAGGTGCTACCACCCCAGGTCAAAGGGAACCTGGAAACAACACCAATTAAGAGGTGGTTCTGATCAGAAGCCTTGCTGCTGAATGTAGTTTATCGTCATACCCAGGTCATTTCTTGGTTAGGCTGAGAACCAGTATCCCCCACTCCATGAAATTTCAAAAGTAATATTAAACTTAGTCTGTTTCAAATAGGCCAAACAGAACTTAAACATTAAATCTATTTATAACTACAAAGTCATCATAACAATTATAGGTTGTAATTAAGCTAATTTTTTTCTAAGTCAAACTGAAAAATTTTCACCATCTCCTCATAGGCAGCATTAGAGGTATTTAGTTTTAAGTAACTTAATTGTTTGTAATAACATAGTGTATGTGTATTTCTAGAAAGATTTATGGCTCTGGAGCAAATAAAGTTTTACAGAGGAAATGAGATTCTTACTTCTGAATCAATTATTGCATGTATACAAGCTATATATTCCTGACACTTTTTTTTACATCTACTTAAACCAGGGGTTCTCCACTAGTGGAGAATTCTCCTTTAGGGGAGAATTTCAGGCTTTCAGCGGGGGTGGAATTGGGGCCACAGATTGGTAGACTCAAAATGTTAACTTTTGAACTCCCCAAGGTAGCACAACCTGCAATGTGTATTGGTCTGCACAATTGAGTGGTTACACTGGTTTTCTTTCTACTACAAAAATAATCCATGTAATTGTATATGTACTAATATGGAAAAGAATGAAGATTTTCAGTAATATATGCATATTATCTGGAATGCACCTTTTGAGTTGGACAATCTTGGTAAGGCAGGGAATGACATCCTGACTTAGGGTGAAAAGGGTGCATTGGGCAGAATAGGTTGAGAGCCACCAGTTTTTCTAATTGTTCTATAATTTTGGAAAATGAATATTTTATTGAAGTATGTTGGAAATTTTCCAACTTTTCATCTGAAATCAAAATAAGAATTATAAGTTAAATAGTCACAATAGATAGAAAAAGTTTTAGTCTAAACTGACACCAGGTGGATATAGGTTTAATTGATTACTTCAACATTTTAGACAACCAGCTATCTTAGGTTCATTTATAATTATTTAAAAAAATATTCTATTTAGACATCATAAGAATGAATAATATTCATTCTTCTTTTGTTTTAATTTTCATAATATTGGTTTCCATACTGAAATAACTGCTTCTATTTCCCATATGAAAAACATATTTCCATTGTATGTTATAAACTTTCAAGTTATTTTGAATAAATTTCAAAATTACTCTTCATTTGAGAGTTTTCTAATTGTTCTTTGCATTTGGTTTGAGACAAGAATGAATATTTGGTAAGTTTTTGATTCAACATTACATGTTTGGTTAAGTTTTCTAAGCTTATGACTTTCTGCCAATTCAGTTCTTGTTTACTTGTCTTGAGTTTTTTGGATGTTTTGTTATCAGATATTTTTCAGCCAGCCTCAGTTTTGGCTTCCATTGTAGAATACTGGCCTAGTAAGTGAAAGCTTTATTAGATGGCGAAGCCATTTTATTTTCCATTTGCAAATTTCCTTTCAGACTGGCTTGTTTCTTAACTTTGTTGTTGGTGACAAAAACCATTCCACTTGATACTTACTATATTCTTTACACATTTTATATTGAATGCAACCAGTTTCTCCTCTTGGCTGTATTTCAGGTGCTGGTTTCACTATCCATATTTAGTTTCTAATAAAAAAAATTTTCTTCTTAATACTTTGCTTAGCTTTACTTTTTAATCATTTCATGAGAAAGCCACTGAGATGCAAGGGGTTACTGGGAGAGAAAGAGAATGAGAAGACTTTAGGGAGGAGAAAGGACAATAAAAAACAGGTTTTAAGAAGAGAGAAATTGCTGATTGGCATTGCCTTTATATTTTTGAAGACTGTCGGTGGTAGGTAAGCAAGAAATTGGAAGGGAATTCCACAGGCAAGAAGTATGAGAAAAGAAACTATTAAAATAAAACATATGGTTGAATCTAGATAGTTCAACAATAAAACAGTGAGACCTAATTGCCAATCCAGTAGCATGCTTAAATTCATGCAGTCAAGGCACCAAGACAGAAAGATCATCAAAACAATTGCCATGAAAATATTTGTAGAAAAGACAGAGAGAAGCCACACCACATTGGTGAAAAACTGATTGATGTTGAGATACCAAGTCAGGATTGATTACAGACCCTTTGGAAATCATGTTTTGCTATCCAAATGCACTTTCAGATTTCAGTGTCATACATTCTGTCCTCTTTTAAAACACTTTCCAGATATTTAAATTGTTGTACTTATTTGATTTTAATATCTCCAATTTGTAATTTGCATGTTGGGCTATTCATTTTGCCAACAACCATGCATTCTGTCTTCTTGCAATTGATGCTTACTCCTTTCTTCTCCTTTTCCTTCACTACCTTCTGTAAGAATTCTTTTAGTTTCCTTTCTATGTCTGTCATCAACATTGTATCATCTGCATATCTTGTTAAGATGGTGACAACCAATAATGGATCCTGGTAGGACTTTTAATTCTCTCAGGATCACCTCACTGTATAAATTGAATAAATCAGGTGAGAAAACACGTTCTAGTCTTACACTCCTTTCTATTTTTGTACATTTACTGAATTCATTTTCTATCCGTATAGAGGATGGTTTACTCCCAGTATGGGTTTTGGATTTTTCTAATATTCTTCCCAAATATGTCAAAGGTCACCTAACAGTTCTTTGTGATGTACTTTATCAAGCACTTTTGCATAATCTATAAAATACAGGTACACATCCTTCTGCATTTGTTAGCAATGACATTTATTTTACCTTTCATACAATTATTTCCACTAATCAGATTCTTTATCTTTTTTCCATTCTTAACAACTTTAAATACAATAATTATATCATAGAAATAAATATAAACATGTCAACTCACCTGTTCTTTCAAAGTATCCAATATATAGTAAGCCTGTGGTGAGGCAGGCTGAAAGTGGGCATGGTAGTCAGGGCTATCAGGGTTAGTGCTAAGAAAGAAAAAATAGACTAAGATAAACTTGTATCAAAATAACAATCTCCAAACATATACATGTCATGCAGGATCACAATGTGTTAACTATATTATTCTTAAATAAAAAATTTTTTATGCCTTTTGATATTAGAACCACTAAATATTAATTGAAAGTAAACTGTATTTACTAATTATGTGTAATCAAAAATAGACAGTCTCTTGCTAAGCATCTAATACTAATCTGAAAACAAAATCTGTATAATTAATGTTAATTTATTGTGATTTTTTTTTTATATAGATTTATATTCTGATATATTCTATAGTCTTCAGCATGTGTTCATTTTGTGTTATATTTCATCATTATTATTTCATTTATTGGAACAACTTAAGTAAATGGGTCCCACTCATAAAAAATCTGGAAAAATTATTTTTGGAATAATTTTCATTCATATATTAATTTTTATCAATTATAGAAAGTTGGCTCTGATCGTTATATAAAAACAGTGTCAAATTGATCCCTGACTTCATAAAGAGTTATATGTACTTTGTTTTTATTTACAAATGTCAAATTTGAAACTATGCTTATGCCATTGATACCTGCATATCCTTATTCCTCAATTTGAGATTTTCTTCATCTATTTTTTTTTTATTTTGAAAACATTTTTAAACCTTTTTCTTGTATTTTTTGTAGGCAAATATTGATTTTTTTTTATCATTTTAGAATAGGTGAACTTGTTCATAATATAAATACAATGCTGAATCAGTCTTCTTGTAAGAGTTATTTTTACTTTGTTTTTATCTACAAATATCAAGTTTGAAACTTACATCATTGATAACTATCTATTACTCATGTCCTTTTTCCCCAATTTGGAATAGTATGCAGTTATCAATGACATAAACAGTCTCAAACTTAACATTTGTAAATAAAAACAAAGTACATATAACTCTTTAAGAAACCAGGGATCACTGTACTTATCTCATGAACAGGACACCCTTACTTCTAAAATGAGTTTTTAAAAACCAATATTTTTTTTTTAGTCGAGAAAATTTGTTCCCCTTCAAAAATATTCCTTATTTTCTATTACATTTGGGCCAATGAAGCTCAATAGTGCTTGTTTATTCTTTAAAACTGCTTGCAACAAATATACATATTTTCAAATAACAGCATCCTTCCATTTTAACCTAGATATGTTTTGACAGAGCCACTATCATTGATAGTCAATACTCATTGATTTATGTCTCAAACTTTGATACCATGTTCATTATTTACAGAGACGATTTGTGTGTGGTCAGCAAGTGCAAGTCTTTGTCTCATTTAAATTTAACAGCCAATATTCAAATATTTGTTTCGATTGCAGAATTGTCCTTCTCGTAGACTAGTTGCCCAACCAAAATTAAAGAACCTAGTATGCCTTATTGTTTCTTTCATAGCTAGAGTGGGAGGAGATATATTCATCCCTTGTCCAAGGGTATTAACAAAAAGTGAATACAAATAGACTTGGCCTGAATTTGAACTCTGTTCACTTATTCCATTTTTGATCCAATAGCTATTATGCCAACATCACCTCCAGCACCATAGCAACACTAAGAAATGTCCTTCTGAGCATCTATCAATTTTATAGATATAGAAACTTTAAACTTCTACATCTGGAATGCAATACAAAATTAACTAGTATATTCATCAATCTTTAGATTAACTGCAATTACAATCTGTTATCCTATAATCTACCACTGACCTTACATGATTAAGATTAAAGTCCAAGGGTATAAGCAAGAAGTGAACATAAATAACCTAGGCCTGGGTTGTAACTGCATATTTTTTAAAAATGTAATTAGTAATCTATAATGAAAAGTAAAAAAGAAAACACCTTTTAGACAGATTTCTTTGTTTAGACAATTGCTTTTTATAAAGAATTAACGGATTTATTTTTAATCCAATATTTTATTACTTCAAACATTATTATAGTGAACACTTTATATTTGAAATAGATTCCTATTTTTTTATTAAACTATAATAAAAATTCACAAAGTCCAAATCCCCATGTACACACACACACAGCCTCATCTCAAAAAATCTCCAGGTAGGAAAAATCATTTGCTTTTATAGCAGTTTGGTGGACCCTTTCCGGGTTTTTGATTTGTGGAGCATAGAAATGGATTTACATATTTTTCTATGCAAAGCATTCCACCATGATCGGTTAACAGAAGCTAATTTACATGACCTCACTGACCACATTCAGTGGAGAAGCATTTTTCTTTCTTTCTTCTCTCTCCACCCTGCACATGACAGGTTTCATTCTTTAGGGTATGTCATAATTTTCTTCTGTACATAAACTGTGTATTACATCCATTAGCCTGTGCATTTGAGAAATCTCAGTAAAGAAAATGTTTTCTCAGTCAGTGATTGAATCTGCGTTCCCCCCTTTGTAGGGTAAACCACCATTAGATCTGGCATGCTGTACCACTTGATCATAAAGAACCTCACAATAAGCAAGGTTCTATTTTCCCCTTTTTAAAGAAAGCACATCCTCTTCACCCAGATTATTTTTTCTCAAAATACTATGATGTTCTTTGTGGCCAAGCAATAAAGTATATCAAGTCAAACTGTGATTTCACCTAAAAAAAAAAAGGGGATGCAGGTTCGATCTCTACCATAAATCACATTTCCTTTACTAAGATTTCTTGAATACATAGGCTGATAGATATAATGCATGCTGTTTAAAATAAAATGGTGCATCTATTTCAAACATGAAGTGTCCACTATAAGTTTTAAGTAATAACAATTGGTTTTGTAAATTCATATTTTCTAGTTATCATTATTTTTAAGACAAGAGATCTCAGAGTTTAAGGTTGACAATACTTGAGCAAGTCTTTCATCTCATTGACCTTTATTTCTGCCAATCAGTGATCATAAACTGTTTCAGTAAATGTGGCCAAGGGAGTTAGCATATACAATATTTACCAGTGAATGCAGGAAAATTTCCTTACAGATGAAGGGTCTCAAAGCAACAAATATGTGGTTTTACAGAAGGATGCTGAGAATACCATGAACTGAGCATGTGAGCAACGAGAAAGTTTTCAGGAAAATGGAAACAAAAAGGACACTTATACTTAAATTCAGAAAGAGAAAGCTGAAATTTGTGGGACATATAATGAGGAAAGAGGAATTTGACACTCACAGGAGATACTGAATGCAGAGGGAAACAGCAAGTAACCTTCCAAACATGTTTGTGTGAATAGATGTCAGAACAAGGACAAAGAGGGATGGTAAAGAGTCAAAAGTTGCTGCAAGGGATGGGAAGTTGTGGAGAGCTATGGACGCCCATGACCTGAAGGGACATGTCATATAAAGGACAGTAAAATTGGAACATGTTGATAAGAAGCAGTTGGTCAAGCTATGGATATTACCTGAAATAATTTGCAACCTCATATAAAAAACAAACTGGTGCCAGAAAGTAAAGACTTGCTAGAGAATGGCTAGTGACAAAACTCAAAAGTTGGACCAAGGGACCAGCCTGAAAAGGTTCTCAAATTCTTTGTGAACAGGTGATGTACGAGAATCACCAAATGTCAAATAATGGTCTTCATTTTCTTAAAAAAGCTTTGTTAATAAAACAAATCTTGATGAATAATTTCAAACTGGTTATAATTTCACATATAAACATGAAGTCTAGAAAATGATTTGAACACAAAGACTATATTAGTGACTATACACAGAGTAAATAAAGTAACTACCACATTTGAAATGAAAAACAGCAGAAAAGTAGAATAAAATAAAAAGAAAAGTTTTTTGTTTTTTTTATTAATTAATTAAGCAATAATGAAAACGTTTTTAGGGGAAGAGTGAACTATTCATTCAATCCCAAAGATAAATATCTTGATGGGGTTTTCATCAAAAAAGAGTTAACAGATCTTTCTTCATTGATTGAAACATTACAGGTAGAAACTACTTGAACATGGTACAACCATTGATTTTTTTTTTTTTTTCAGAACTGTCCAGAAACTAACCTTTCTCCATTGATGGAAACATTACAGGTAAAAACTACTTGACCATGTTTGACCAATGTTTTTTTTTTTTTGTTTTTTTTTAACACCCACAACTGTCCAGAAAGGCTTTGCAAATTACATTTTAATGAGACAGTGCACCTTACTCACACAATATCAGAAATTTTTTAGATAGAAAATTACCAAGTTAAAGGCTTGGGAGATCAGGACCCTTGATTTGGATAGCAAGGTCCCCTTGATAAGAATACCATTTACAAGAGAAAACACTTCAATATTTAAAGAATTTCAGTGAAGATGATGCATGATAACACACCTGATATGTGTTAAAATGCAATTTGAATTTTTTATAAAAATTTCTTAATTAAAAAAAGACGTTTAACCTTGCTGCTCACAAAAAAAAGTTTGTCAAAAAGGTTATTCCCTTGACACTGCTATTATTCTATATACTTTACACTCCCTCAGCAATGTCTATTGTTTTAAACAATGATGTTCAGAATTTGAGTAAAACCCCAAAATATGAAAGTACATTTGTACATTTTCTTTATTCTTGAAAACAGACAACAAATATGTTAAACACTATTTTTTTTATTAGATTGCTTATTTACAAGAATAATTTTATATTTACAAGATTATAAAGATATGTGAACCAACTCTAATGAAATATTTATTATTTAATATTTTATAAAGAAATAAATATGAAAAGAATTGTTTTATTCATAAATTTATAAAAATTTCTGTGAACAAGGCAATTTAAATAAACACATAGTAACAAGTAACTGTAATTATAAATTTCCAGTCATTTTTTTTCATTTGCTTTCACCACATCAATTCACTAAATAGGTTGAGAGCATCTCTTCCTCTGAACCAAACATTATTTTAATTTTAGATTTTAGGTGAGACCACAAATACTCAATATTTTGAGTGTGTATCTTCCTATTTATTGGATGGACAAAGTTTTCCTTGTATGTTTTTAGAGACTGTCTTTAACATTTACCATGTCATTCCTTACAA